ATCAGGCTTTAGACTGAACCAGAAAAAAACTAAGATGATAGTTAAAAATATGACACAAGATCGAAAACACAAACTTGAAAGGAGGGCAGGTTTTGAGATTGTACCAAAGGTTAAATATCTAGGAGTTCAGGTTGCAGAATCAAATATGAAACTGTTTCAAAATAATTATGAGGCGTTGTGGCGAGATGTACAGAAAGATATGGAGACTTGGAAAAAAACTGCAGCTGTCTTTACTTAGAAGAATAGCAGCAGTTAAGAGGAACATTTTGCCAAGATTTCTTTTTTTGTTTCAAATGATTCCGGTGCTTAAAAGTGATAAACAACTGAAAGAATGGCAAAGTGGAGTGAATAAGTTTGTCTGGAACGAGAAAAAACCGAGAGTGAAATTGAAAATTATGCAAGATGTTCCAGAAAGGGGAGGTCTTAAACTTCCAAACCTACAGTGATATTATGAAGCAGTAGCTCTGACTCAAGCAAGCGATTGGTTTGGAAGGAAAAAGACTGGAATATTGAATATAGAAAGTTTTGATCTTGAATTTGGATGGCATGCTTACTTATTTTATGAAAACAAAGTGGATAAAGTATTTAAAAACCATATACTTAAGAGACTCTTTGATGAGAGTTTGGAAGAAGCACCGACTCAAATGGGATTACAAAATACCGCTATGGCTGGATCTTGGTCATATCATGTGGAATACAAATATAATGTCACTCGGGGGGTTTTTATATAAAGAGGTTCTTTTTACAGATGCGGGCAGATGGCAACTGAAGACATTAGAGACACTGTTGGACGAAGGGATTAATTTAACTTGGTTACAGTATAATCAACTTCAATTGAGATGGAAAGAGGACCAAAAAATTGGTATTATGTTGCATGAGGAAGAATTGGTTAGACATATAAAAGAGAAAGGTCCAATGCATATTAAAAGGCTTTACAATGTTTTGTTAGAAAGGGATTCAGAAACTGAATTGGTTAAAGATTGTATGATTAAGTGGGCACAAAATTTTGCAAAACCAGTGATGTTGGAAACATGGGAAAAAATTTGGGTCCAGAATGTTAAATTTACACAGTCGCAGAATTTGAGGGAAAATTTTTATAAAATGTTTTATAGATGGCATTTAGATCCTAAGAAATTGTCACGTATGTACCCTAATGTTCAGCCAAAATGTTGGAGATGTGATTGTTTAGATGCTACATGTTATCATGTTTGGTGGACTTGTAAGAAAGTTAAGGCTTTTTGGATAAAAATTTGGTGGGTCATGCAGAATGTTTTGAAGAAAAAAATTCAATTTTCTCCACAATTGTTTTTATTGGGTATAGTTAAGGGTTTTACATTGGATGAAATAAAGTTGATATTGTATATGATAACAGCAGCGAGATTATTGATAGGTAAATACTGGAAAAATGAAGCTTTGCCCACTATCGAGGAATGGACTTTGAAGATGGCCAGCTTTGCAGAGATGGCGAAGATTTCAGCATATCTAAAAGACCGCTCACAAGAGACTTATGAATGGGAATGGAAAAAGTGGATAGATTATGTGCAGAACAAATATCAAACTAGGAAGTATCAAATAGCTTTTCACTGACAGTATTATATTAAGATAGAAATATTTGAATTTTGTGAAGATGAAAAATTATATGGGGGATGGAGGGGTTCAAGTTTTATATAAAGGGGATTTTGATGGGAGTATATTCTGTGGAAGTCCGGGGGGAGGTGAGGGTTAGGGGGGGTTTGGGAGGGTTAGGCTGGGGAGCTTGGGGTGGGTTGGGGGGAAATGGGGTGAAAATGTAATTGTAAAACTTTTGCAATAAAAAAAAAAGTATGAACTCAAAAGCAAACTATTAAAATCATGAAGGGAACAAAAGAGAATCCAGGAAGGGAAATCTTGGATCTAGCAGAAGAAAGCTTTTCTGCTACCGAGAAGCAAGTTGCAATACCTTCAAGATATCAAGGAAAATCCGTGGCAGTTCTATGACTTGCCAAAAATGTGGGCTGTATAAGAGTACAATATCCAAAGTGACAAGACTCTGCATAAGAATGAAAAAACCAGCCATGCATCCTAGTTTACAAGAAGTGCTACCAAGAGCAATTAAAATGAGGGATTATCTTTTCTTGATTACTAAATCCAAGTTGTTTAACCCAAACTCTATTATTATTTGGCCAAGTAAGAGTGTACAAATGCCACCTCTCTAGTTTCCAAAAAAACCCTATTTACCCAACAAAATGACTTTACAAACCCAGGAGAAAAGGGAACGGAGAAAGTAAAAGTTTCAACTAAGTTACAGTCTTAGAGAGCTAGTCTGGATACCACATATGCAAAAGTGAGTCTGACTGATATAGAGATATATAAGTTGCAGCCATAACTCACACACACATACACAAAACTCTGGGATGAGCAAACATGCAAGCAACTAATAGTTGATTCTTTACTTTAGGAAAGCATAAAATTCCATCTACTAAAGTCAGCTCTTTCCATTTTTAATGAGATAACAGATTGCCTGGTAGCTGGAAAACAGAAATCAATGAACTGGGTTTTTTATATTAATAAAGGTGAATATAATTTTAAGAAGCTGTAACTTACTTAGACTCAAAATTATGTTATTTTTCTTGTTAATGCTAAATACAACTTTTTGCTTTTCACACAGACCCCTTAGTTACTCAAGGGACATTTGCAATTGTGTTTAGTGCAGGACAAAATACTTTGTTGCTAAGAAAGCTGGAGTAAAAAGAAAATACATATTTATACTCTTTTCATAGAATCTCTCAGCGAAAAACAAGGTGGCGTGGTACCATTCAGATCTGAAGGTGAAATTTTAATCTTCATTAAAAGCTACACTCATTTCATTATCCCCGTTTAATGATTAAAGCCTTATAGCACCACTTAAAGAGATGTGCTTGAAACAATGTTAGGATTTTTTAAAAAAACATATTTTCATACTGTCAACTCCAACTTAGTTCCCAATTATAAATGAGTATTTTTTCCTTCAGTGAACAGTTTATGCAGTTACTCTAGAAAGCTGCTCATAAAATCACCCCACCGAAATATTAAAAAGTCAACCAGCCTTCGGCATTTATAGCAAGAATATAGAACAGAAGCATGAAATACCCAAAACAGAAATCCATGATGTATTCATATCCCGTTTGGAGAACTGTATTTGTTCTGATCTGGTAGGGCCAATTTAAATATTCTTAGACTGTGGGGTCATTTCACTGGCCTAGGCATAAGTCCTACTGAATTCAAGATATCCTCTGAATGGCTCTGTGTAGGATTGCCTTGCTATGTTTCAAGAACCAGCAGACCCTTTGGATAACCAATTGGACTTCATAGTTAGAGAAAATGAATTCATTACTGCAGTAATTCAGGGAAAAAATAGATTGTTATAAAGCCTAGATCAATCTAAAAGATGCAAAATTGTGTACAGTACATTATTCAACTACTAACTGCTTTCTATATTAAATACAATATATTAGTTTTTTAAACAGGTCCTGAGTCTCAGTAATCTGCTTGAAAATCTGTGGGATAGAGAGAGAGAGAGAGACAGACAGACAGACACACAGACACATATACACATACGCAGATACATATATACACATAGTTACATATATACATATAATACATACATACATATACATACACAAACACCCACCCACCATAATTTTACTCTCTACATATTCTCTCATTTGTCTGGGGGGGAAAAGTTGATCAAATCAAGTCATGCATATATTGCAAATACCCATTATTCATACTGTTATAGTGTGTAGTATTATTATTATTATTATTATTATTATTAGTAGTAGTAGTAGTAGTAGTAGTAATAGTATAGTATAGTATAGTATAGTATAGTATAGTATAGTATAGTATAGTATAGTATAAGTATAGTATATATAGTCTAGTCTAGTCTAGTCGCAGTGGAAACAGAATAGACTTTAGAATCACACAAATCACAAGAGCAGGGGGGAAATGGCAAGTTTCATCCCTGAAGAGATTGCAAAAAATTCCCCACAGGAACACAAAGAAAACAAAAAAGAAATTATCCATCCATTCCAAATAAGCACATTGCATTGTATTGCTACTGTCATTTATCTGAAAAACTGAACAGAGTATCTAAAACTTACAGACTGTCCAGAGTTCAAACCTATTGGTTTTATCTTTCATTCCTAACATGGGACAGAACAGTAAACAGAGATCAAGTTGAACAGACTAAAGAACATAGATCAACACAATTCTGATAACAGTAGGATGACAGGCTTTTAATGATCGAACTGACCACCATGCAGTCATTTCTAAAGGACATCCTCAAAAGGGAAGAAAACCCAATTGTAAGAGAGACCAAAATAGGATGACACTTACACAAATGTGGATTCAGGTCAACAGTCAAAAGCTAGTTCAAGGTATCTTGCCCAATTTTTAAGCTTTCTGCTCTTAAGAAAATCAGTTCAAGTACCACAAAGCGATGGAGGGTTTTTTGAGAGCTTTCATGAGGATGGAAACTGAATGCAACGAGGTTACACAGGCCCTGCCCTGGGCAATAAACTTATATATGGAAGAGACACACACAACACACACACCACTCTGGGACAAAAGGAGCCTTCCCAGCCAAAGTGCTGGAGGCAGTAACTGGAGTTGGCGAGAGATGAAGCTGACGATGGAGAAGAACAAGATGATGTTAGAGAAGCAGGAAGAATGACAGGGCTGCCCTTCCGTGGAGTGAAAGAGAACACCGCTGAGTAGTAGCCACTTACTCCTACCCTGCAAAACAAGAGCAAACCCGACGCCGGGGGATGCAATAAACAAGGGCCAAGGAGGAGAGTGGATGAATCGGGTCCTCAACAGTTAGATATCGCTTAGGTGCCGGCAGGAAGAATATTTATGTCACCTGCCAAATCCAGGTAAGGAGGATCAGATCCGAGATTTAATTCGCCGCTGCCACGTTTTCGGGCAAACAAGGTAGGAAGCGGCTCCCTACAGCGGGGCGGGGTGGGACGAGAGCAACTTACTGGCACAGCGGAGCGCCCGCTGCTGCACCGCCTCCCCGCACAGGTCGCACCAGCCCTTCCAGAGAGTGAAGCCTTCGAAGCGGTGCCCTTCTCCCTTCTCCTCCCGCACTCGGGGGTCCCGCGGCTGCTCGAAAATGGTGCGCACGTCGGGCAGGAGGCGAGGAGCTCCGGACCTCAGCCGGAGCCGCTGGTGGTGGTGGTGGTGCTGGCCGGAGCGGGAAGGCTTAGCCGCGGGGCCGGGAGAAGCGGGCAGCTCCCGGGGTATTAAGTGAGCCCCGAGCGCAGCCTCTTCTCCGGGCGGGATGGGAGCCGCGCGAACCTCGGCTCCGTCCTCAGCCGCTTGCCCGACGGGCGCCTCACGCTCGGCTTCCACCGCGGTCCCGAGGGGCCTCCCGCGGCAGGAGGCGAAGGGCAAAGCCCCGCGGCTCTCCGTAGGACGCTCTCGCAGAGCCTCGGCGCGTCCCGCCTTCAGAGCGCCCTTCTCCAGCCCGCTACCTCCGTCCGCGCCCCACTGGGACACGGCCCCCACAGCGCGGGGAGGCTGCGGCTCTTCTTGCTCCTGCGGCTGCCTCCGCCTTGGCGGCGGCGGCGGCGGCGGCAGCGGCGGCGGCTGCTTCATGTCATTGGAAGCGGAGCGCTTGAGGATCTTCTTCCGTTCGTTGGCGCTCAGGCTCTGCAGGAAGAGCTGCTGTTCCTTATCCAGCAGCAGCGGGTAAGGGTACTGCCCGATAGCCGGGGAAGCCATGGCCCTGGCGAACGGGCGGGCGGCCCCAACAGCTGCGACCTGCCGGCGGGTGGCCAGCAGCGCAGGCGCTCTTAAGAGGGACCTGCGGAGGCTTGCGAAGGAGAGGGAGGGTGGAGCGAGGGAGGGGGCGGGCGAGGAGCCCCGCGCCGCGCAAATCTTCCAATGCTGACTTGCCTGGCCCGGCTTCCAAATTGGTTGGCCTCGCCAAACGGGAGTCCCGCGCTTCAACCCGGAATCCAGCTGAGTTGAGCTGACTGGAAAAATTGGGTCGTGAGGGGAAAAAAAAGAGTCATTCTGTACGTGCTCAGAGGCAAGGAACAGGACCGGCCCCTGTTCTTCGTTCTACACAGCAAGGAAGGTTTTCTTCCCCGACACTTAGCGAGGTGGGGGGAGGGGGAGACTCTTTGCCCTGGTTAATCTGAGGCCTAACTTCATCCTCGAGGATTCATGAAATAATAGCTGTGCTGACACTCAAGTTGACTGAGCTCCCATTCTCAGGCCAAGGTACCACAAACAAAACACCAGAGAAGGCATTCTGCGCTCAGCCTCTGTCAGGCAAGATTTGCAGATCAAATCAAAGGAAGCTTTTAAGTTCATAGCTGGATATATTCAAGGCTTAATAAAAGAGGCGGTGAATACAGGTAGTCCTCATCTTACAACTGTTTGTAGTTACAACGGCACTGAAAAAAGTGATTACAACTGCTTTTTACACACGACTAGTGCAGCATCCCTGTGGTCAGTTATAACCTTTTACATCCTTCAGGCAAACAAAGGCAGGTTCACTTAACAACCGTGTTAGCAACTTAACAACTACAGTGATTCACTTTACAACAGTGGTAAGAAAGGTCATTAAACGGGGCAAAACTCACTTAACAAGTGCTTGCTTAGCAATGGAAACTTTGGGTTCAATTGTCATAAATCGGGGCTTACCTGTATTTATCTTGACCATAATATCTAACCACATTATGATTTGGTGTATTGTGTGAATATCCTGAACATTTTTTAAAAAGTGAGTTTAACTTTCACTTTTCATGTGCAAAATGCTTTCTCCTTTCCCATCTGGAATAATAGGACAGGCTTCCTTCTCTGGGATGTACATTCAGTCTTAAACAGAAACAGGAAAACCACAGTGCAGTCCAGTGTGTGACCCAGTCTGAGTTATATTTTTTTTAAAAGCTGCAAGGACCTTATTCATAGAAGCTGGGCAGAAGTGCTGTGGTTGTGAAGAGATATTGGCATTAAGGAATGTTGTGTTACGCAAGTCAGAAACAGCACTGAGCAATTGATACACGAGAAAGCAAGCCACTGTGGCATTCAGGCCTCTCATAGGCTGGGCTGATACACTGGGCTAAAGCATAATTAATTTAATTGGGAGAGTTATTTCACTGTATGAACCTAAAACTGATCAGTTGATTGCCGCACACTTTTGCAACAGGGATATACACAACCCGAGTCAGCTCTTTGTTTTCTTATTCTCATTGAGTGATTTCTGGAATTTGTCAGATGTTTAATCTCAGCTTCTTCTGGGGATTTTTGGAGAATCATGGCAGGGAAATTCCTAGCTGTATATCAGTTTAAGGATTAAAGACTCTGTAAATTAACCTTTTGATTTCCCACCAAGAAGTGAAACTTTGTAGAAGGAACCAATAAACACAGGCCACACAAAGAACAATAACATACATCTGTTGGGACACCAAGGACACCAGCCTGGACACTGATGCCCCAGAATGAACTCTTGGGAGAAAAACAGTGGAAAGCAAATAAAAGACTCAGGCAGTAGAGGCCTGATCTGGATTGGGAACATGGTTTTGAATAAACTATGTTTTTTCTTACTCATCATCCCCCAATCTGGAATAACAAGGAGGAAGGAGAGATGCATTTTTAAAATAACAGCTAGGCCATGCATTGTACAAAGTCCTGGTTTGCTTAAATGGTGGATTTGTTTTTAATAACCACAAAACACAATAAGAAATCACATTTTGGTTTATTGTAGTTTTCCACAACTTGGTGCCTCTTCAGCTGGGAATGGAAAATCAACATACCTAGAGAGTTGTTGGAGTTGGACATCTCTTTAATGAGATGTGCAAATTCAGCTAAAGTGGACTTTGGTTCTGTGAAGTTTAAGGCTGGTTACAATTCCAAGAAACAACTGGATCAATATGATATACTACATCATTTATTGAACAATTCTAGACACAATTTAAATCCATATCAGCACTTTGTGGAATCTAATTTGAATGTCTGCAGCTTGGTCTTTTCTGTTGAGTGTAAAACTGTTCTTAAATATACAGACAATGGTCTGGTGTGGCATTTGAACCCAGTCAATTCTTGTTTATTCCTCAAATCATGGTTAATCAAACTATGGCTTAGAGATTTATGAATTAGGTATGTTTGTAACTGCCATAGGAAATGTACTTAGAAAACCTGCTATTTTTTTCCCATGCTAGTTCTGCCATCCCAGATTTACTTTCTTATTTCAACTTTTACAGTCACACATTCATGCCAGCCTCTATGCCAAAGATCTCACATAAAAAAGAAGTATGAAGATTCCTTGCTGCCATTTTTCTGTATCCTCTTTGCCAGCCTGACAAATAGTTGAAAATGTACATGATCTGTCTGGAAAAGGGACACTAATTCCATTTTATAATACAATCACAAATGAGCCCAAAATTTATGTTGTTAACCGAAACATTTGTTAAGTGAGTTGTGCCCCATTTTATGACCTTTGTTGCCACACTTGTTAAGTAAATCACTGCAGTTGAGTTAGTAACACGGTTGTTAAGTGAATCTGGTTTCCCCATTGACTTTGCTTGTCAGATGGTCGCAAACTGCAACCGTCATAAATATAAATCAGTTAGCAAGTGTCTGAGTTTTGATCACATGACCATAGGGATGGTGCAACGGTCGTAAGAGTGAAAAATGCTGATACGTCATTTATTTCAATGCCGTTGTAACTTTGAACAGTCACTAAATGAACTGTTATAAGTTAAGGACTACCTGTATTCATTTCCAATATTAGGAAGACAAGAATGGCCACACACATCACACCTTCACATATAACACTAAGCCATAGCTGAGCTGTAGTTTATTGAACAAACCACAATTATCTGGGTTAACATACTAAGCGATAAACTATGGTTTACAATTCACAAAGTTTGGATTCATACAATATGCTATACCAGTGATGGCAAACCTTTTCAGCACCGAGTGCCCAAACCAGAACACTCAATGCGTGCGTGTGCACCAGAAACTAGCTGGCCAATGTGCATGAGCACGCCAACCACCTGGTCTTTGGATTTCCGGCATGTACATGCACATTGGCTAGCTGGTCTTTGCATGTGCGAGAGCACCAGAAACCCAAAGACCAGGTGGCCGGCGCACACATGCGCACCGGCCAGCTGGTCTTCAGGTTTCCAGCACTCCGGCACATGCAAAGACCACCTGGCCAGTGCGCATGTGCGTGCCGGAAACCAGGAGAGCAGCTGGCCGGTGCATGCCCACAGAGAGGGCTGTGCATGCGACCTCTGACATGCGTGCCATAGGTTCACCATCACGGTGCTATACCTTACCAAACAAACTAGTATACAGTACATCTTAGCATGATGTATGAGTGCAAATGCAGGGCATGTAAGTTGTAAGTATTTCCAAAGAATTATCAGTAGGGAGGTTAACAACTCCAAGGGTATGATGTAATGTAAATAGCAGGAAAATGTAAACCATTATTCATCTACATGCTAGAATTTCATGCATAAGCTCTGTGGAGAATTTGTCAGAGGATTGAGCAATGGAGGATTGAGCATGTCAGAGAAATTACTTTACTGAAAGTCTGTGGAGATTCCCAATCATCCAGGTCATGGTTGTCCCATGGTTTGGGACATCCATGACCTGGATGACTCAGAATCTCCATAGACATTTAGCTATGCACAGAGCTGAAGAAGCTTCTTGGATGAGAAGCAAAACGTCTTCAGGAAAAACCAGAAAGTCCAGTTGCCTCTTGAAATTTTGGGACTACTTTACTGAAACACAATTTGAACACATGGCACTTAATTACCAGCATCAGGTCCTAAAAATTCCATTATTGTGTTAATGAAAAGATCAGATCAGGCCTGTCAAACTGGCGGCCCGTCGCCTGGATGCGTCACTCGCAGGCCACGCCCACCCTGGCTTCGCAAAGGCAAAAAATGTGATATGTCACGTGACACAATCAAGTTTGACACCCGTAGATTAGACCATCTGTTTGCTCTCAACATTCATAGAGCTTAAATTTCAACCACCCAACAGCTAGTAAACCTTGGCAATATTTACAGGTTGTAATTATTCACAAGAGAACCAGTGTGGGGTAATGGTTAAGGCATCAGGCTAGAAACCAGGAGATTTGAATTCTAGTCCCATCTTAGGCACCCAGCCAGCTAGTTACTTTCTCTCAGCCTTAGGAAGGAGGCAATGGCAAAGCATTCTGAAAATCTCACCAAGAAAACTGCAGGCCCTTAGTCTCCAAGATCAGATGTGATTGAATGGAAGGGGGGGAGGGAATCACAAAATGCAAAAATAAAGGAGATAAAAGTACATGTTAAAACAAATGTAAATGCACACTTGGTTTCCCCAGTGACAATCTATGGAAACCAGTTCCTGGACTTCAGAGAACCTGGATATAAAGAGTATTGACACTTCATAACTTTGGTATTGGACTCCAGAAAAGATTATAATTAAATATATATTACAGTCAACCAAGAAACTGAACAAATGGATCATTGAACAAGTCACCAATGACCAGGCTCAAGTAATCTTACTCTGTGGATACTCTTTTGGGGGAGGGGTGTGTGAAAATAGTCAAACAATCAAAATCCTGCCCCTTTTCAATGGGCTTCATACAAGCAATGCATGTAAAAAAAAACAAGATTTCAATCATGTTGCAACATCCATCTTGACTTTTTTGACCACCTCAAAAATCACATGTGCCAGATGATCACTTTTAGCATCTTAAAATAGTTTCCTGAAAGCAGCTTGAATGATTTTATTTTATTCTAATGGAACAACTCTAGAT